ACAGAAAAACACAAAAAACAGTAGAAAATTCTATAAAAGTCCTGTTCTACTAGAATTTCTCTTAGAGTTTGAAGTTAGATTTTTAGCTAGATGAGATTTCCAGTCGACTGATGAGTATAAATGGCCTGAATATCATCAGATTTGGGTTTGGTCTGAGTTCAGGGAGTTTCTTTTCTGGTTGGTTTTGAGCACATCTTGGTTCATTTGTGTTTGGATTTCATGTGTTTTTGGTGTTGGATCTGGTGCTGTCTGTTCCTGGGTTTGCTGTGTTGATTTAGGAGCCGAAGTTGATTTCATTGTTTTGAGTCTGGGCTGTTGTTCATCACTGCCTCACTGACCTCCATTTCTCCTTCATTTTGCATTTTAATCCCAGGTACACATTTGAACTCAAAGTTGATGTAGCTTCGAGATTGAACATGAAAATGGAAGTATTCAAGCATTTGCTTGCTGGAAGATGCATCTGTAGTTAATTAGATAGCGATGGTGTATATATAACTGTATAATGTAGTCTAATTAGATCTATATTCAATGAAACTCGGACTGTGTGATTTGTACCTAATTGGACTGTTTGGACTGTTAATTTGTAGTTATCAGTTGTAGTTAGACTTGTTTCGCATTTTTCTGTTTAAAGTTTGAAAGTCAGAAATAGTTTAAACTTGTTTCCATAACCACTTTGTAATGCAATAGTTAATATAAGCAGGTTAATTTTCAATGTCAAAACCTGTGTTTCCCTGAGTACACTGTTTTAAAGCAAGCGTTGGCAATTCTGGGTCAGTAGTGAGGTAATTAGTTGAATAAGAATACATTGTTGGTTGTTTGATAATTAGATATGATCAAAGTATGAATTTAGGCTCGTAACTTGTAATCAATACTCTGTTAACTTGAATAATAATACATTGCTTACTTTATTGTCAGTCATTGAATGCACTCGTAAGAGTTCGGAATAATTTCGGTGGGCAAAGGTTTGAGCAAATCAGTGGCTTGCCAGCTCCAGGGATTCGATTTTTGATCATCCCAACGCCGCCTGATATGCTTGTCCGATCTGGGCTAATATCAGGCCCAACGCCTGTGTCTGTTGGGAATTTTGTCCGTTTGTGTCTATTGACTAATTAGGACCTTTTCTTGTGTTATTAGAGATAAATAAATGAAAAGTCGTAGTTTACTTCAGGACTAGCCCTTAAATAATAAACGAGACGAGCCTCGCCAAATACAATGCAAAATTGCGGGGCCCTCGATAAATGGTTACATTAAAGAACTTAGAATTCGGGACGGGCCGTCTAGCGAATTTCACGGCCCTCCCCAAAGATAATCACGCGCTAGTCACTTTAGGTGCACTACTTAAATATTTTAA